TTCTCATGTTCAGCAAGGATCTTCTCGAGCCTCAGGCTTAGTTCCCTGAAACTTGCGTCCGCCCCACTGCTGGCAGCCCTATCGGGCAATTGCGCAGTCAGAACACCTGCCGGCGTCCGCATCCCAACGACTTTCTCTATCTTGAAGAGTCGCGTCTCGATCTTGTCCAAGTCTTTAAGGATCTCATCCTCAGAGGCAGCATGGCTCCTGCGGATGGCCTGATGATTTTCCTGAATGACCTGACGAAGTTGGCTAGTTGCGATTTCATTTTCCTTAACGGATTCATGAACTTGGTGGGAAAGCAGGTTGACCCTCTGATCCACAATCTCAGCCTGTTCGTCGATGGCTTGCCTCACAATGGCCCTGCTATCAGGGATAACTTCGCCGGCAAACCGCTGAACTATCATTCGCATTCTATCGGCATCAGACTGAGTCGCAATCTCAGTAGCCAAACGACTGACCCTGTCCTTTGTCTGCTGATTCTCGTCGCTCCACTCCCTTCGCATGGAAACCACCTGACCGTTCAGTAACCTGATTTGGTCAGCAAAGATATGGAACGCCTTCGCGACTGAACCAGATACCTCACCTCTCTCGAGCATCTCCTGGATGTGCAAATCAAACACCTCCTTTGCCCTAGCGTCGCCTGACTCACCGGAGGAATGGGATCTGTGGGCTGGAGGAGTCGATATCTCGATCCTCTCAGGAGCCCCACTAGCTCTGGCATGTCTTCTGGGGTCGCCTACAGGACTATCATCAATCCTGGATGGCCTACTCGGGGTTGATCCCCTTCTCCGGCTATCGCCAGATCGGGGATCAATATTAGATGCACGAGACTCTGGAGTAGAATGGATATGAACATCAGCAGGGTCGAACATTTCTTCATCCTGCTGGGTTGAACCTAACGGTGAAGGGCTAGCCCTCCTCGCCTTTGACCTATCGGTCTCAATGGCCAGGGGCGACGGCCTCTTCGAGGAAGCACTACGCTCCCTGGCGGTCGAGCCCCATTCAGGGGTGAACTCGTTGCTAGACCTTAGACCTTAGTGTTTCAAGGTCGCTGGGATCTCGCCCTAACGGGCTAGCGATCGACGGACGATCTTCGATTCCAAGTGCATCGGCAAGCCGACCATCTCTGGCACCTGTCCCAACGACATCGGCAGCCCGTTCAGTGATCCTCGGCGAACCAGTAACCCGGTTCGAGTTCTCGTCTCTCTGATTCAACGGACCTCCAAATGTAATGTTGGGAAAAGGGGGAACATTCGGGGTATCACCAATCACCGGGGGACCTATCGGTCCCTCCCGGTCATGGATGGCCTCCAATCCACGAAGAACTTCCCGACTATCCCTGGCTCTCTCTCTCTCGCTTCGGGCGTCCCTGTCAACACGAAGGTCCCTGGCGGCTCCACGAGAGAGGCTCCTGGGCCTCGCAGCAGCACGGATCCTAGCATTTCGGCGTGATTGGTCCTCTTCCTCATCACGACGATCCGCAAATGCGGCACATTCATCATCATCATTGAACTCAAACTTGGCAGTATTAGGGTTGGGCCTATCGGCATCAGATCCCTGCTTTGAGCTACTGCCCCAGCCTGCGGTTGATTTCAACAGAGCATCGTATCCGAAGCCTGTGAATTTCCGCTCCTCGTGCTCATCAAACTGACCTGGATTTTGAGAACCAGTGGATCGACCCGAGATATCTCTCGGAGCCAAAACCATAGTCCCTGGTCCCTGCGGCCTGTCCTCAAACGCATCCGAGACCTGCGATTCACCTGGAATGAGAGATCTCGGTGGTCGGGTCAGCATGGCCTCCGGGTCGTCCGAATGAGGGCGGGCCATGTTCATCGCCATGCTGATGAAGTCGAACTGTCCGCGCCTGCGACCTGACTCAGAGCCGCTCCTATCGGAGCGAACTCTTTGTGCCTGCTCGTCATCAGTGGCCTGACGGAAAATACGATCGTCTCCATCGTCGGTGTACCTGCCACGGCTCCTGGGTGTGTCCCTACCGGGATCTTCACCCCTGCGGTCCTGACCTGTCGAACCTGCTTCGAAATCCTCGTAGTCGAAGTCCGGTAGGTCCTCACCTGAGCGGAGGCCACCTAGGATGGTCTCCTCATCCACGACGCTCCTCCGAGATCGCGGGGTCGACATAGAGCTTGTAGTTGATGGTCTCAAGCGCGTAGGAAAGTCCTACGGCTGATAACCTGTGATTCGGGCACGAGCCTGTGCCCAGGCAATGGGTAAGTTGGGGTAAACAAGCCACAAAAGAAAGGTTCCCCAAAAGCAAACCAATCCCCGGTCCCAAAGATCAGGGTTTCCCACACACCAGAGAACAACAACCAAAAGGGAAAAGCGTTAACCCGCAACCTTGATCGACGACAGGCCGCACGAATGGTCCCTACCAACCTGGCGGCGGCCCGAGGTCTCTTTCTCCCCCGAGATGCCGTCGGTCGACGCAGGGGCTCGGCGACGCCCATCCGAGGCGCGACGGAACCCGTAAAACTTGAGCCAAACATCACAGGTCAGTCACTACCGCGACATCCCTGCTGATGAAATAAATCATGGCTAATCACAATCTGTCAAATTCTAGGCTTGCCAGCAGGGTTGGAAAGGCTTGGTGCGGCCAAGGCCAACATTGCACACTGATTGAACAGTTCCATGTGTGCGAAAGCGTCTTGCCGCCAAGCAGGGGGACGTTCCCGCTGGAAATCTGATCTAACGTGGTCAATTGTCTCCACTTCCTACATCTTTGTGCTGGATTGCTGCGTTCAGTTGGAACCAGCACCAGCTTCCAAACACTTTCCAGCTGCCAAACGGCCCAGAAAACAAGCGAGTTGGGGCAGGGAAAGGGACGAGGGTGCTACAAGCTGGGTCTGCAACAGCTGCATTCGAAGCCCTGCACTTGTTGCCGCCGCTGCCTCACGACTTATCACAACAGCTCCTTTACGCAACAGGGCCCTCGATTGATTGCGCAACTCCTGGCACTTGCTGGCAAGATTGCGCACCACATGTTCCTCCTGAAGCGCCTGAAGGTTACTTTCCAATAGCACTCTGCCTTGCCGACCGGCATCTGACCGCATTTTGCTCCGCATACTTGCGATCATCTTGGCCCTACCCACACCTGCGCTATCCAGTCGGATGTAGCGACTCTGGTTCCCCTTCATGGCAAAAAGTCTCAGACGAACTTCAGACTGATTAGCGTCGGCCAGATCAAGCGCAAGTCTTGCTTGCGTTTCTTTGACGGTCAATCCATGATCCAGCAAGAGTTGCAAGGAAGCTTTGGCAGTTCGCAAGTGTGTGCAGCAAAGCGAAAAGCTTTTGTCGTCCTTGCGGACAATCCAGCGGTCCATACCTTGATCATGCAGGAAAGCAGCCAGGCAATGCAAGATGTGGGGATTGGCTTGTCTGACTAACAACGCAAGGCTTGCCTGGCGGGCGTGTACACCAATGTAACCCTCAGCGTCAAAGAAGCCAGCAAAGTACGACCAGGAGCATGGCAACCAGGCAGCTGGTTGAAAGCTTGCATGCTTCAATGCCTTCAACCTCTCGTGCACCTCGTTGCGACGAATGTTGCAAACCGTGCCCAGCGTAGCAATCTGAACTTGTGCCTGCTTCATTGAGGGGAAGCTGCTCAGCATTGTTGCAGCAGAAGCGAGCGCATGCCCAGTTGCCTGCCATCTCAGCGTTGCATGTGCCACACCAGTGGCATCTCGCTCGCGATAGATTCCACCTCCAAGCATGTCACGAAACTGAACGAGCACACCAGCCTGCTTAATGGACTGCGACATCTGCAGAATGAGCTGGCCAGTTTGCTTGTTCATAGTAATGCACCCATCGCCATCAAAAAATCCAGTAAGATATTCTATCTCATCTTGCGATGCCCGATGCTCAATCTCGGTTGTGGAGGACAGTGGGAGCTGATACGTGCGCCCGCCAAATGAAAAGCTCTCAACCCGCGGGCAGCGCACTCTTCGGAGAAGGTCATGCAAGCGTTCCGAGCGGCGCTGCAAGCTCGGCAGCGTCTCACTTCCCAGGTGGCGATGTAGAAGCGAGAGCCCGGCAAAATCAAGCCGACCAGAATGGCTTAAGCGCCAAAGACTGCCGAATGCAAGCTTCATCTTCTTCGCCCACGCGTCCACCTGCACGTTTCAGGTGTTGGGTGCCGCATATGCGAAGTACGGCGATTGAAGCACCAACTTGAAGCGACTGCTGAGGTATGGGTTTGGAAATCTTGATCCTCCAGCAGCTGCGGACCAGCATCGGCCTAAACCACAGCGCAAAACTGGAATCATGAGGAATACTCAATTGGTCTGGTCACCCTGCAAACCATGCTGATGAGCGACTGGGTTGTGCTGGCCTTCATTGCACAGGGCAGGTGATTCTAAAACAGCAAAGCCGAAATCAAATACTTCTAACATGAATCTACGAGCCAAGTACGTATCCAAGGAACATGGCCAGTGCTTGGATCGTGCGACATGTCCTGCATGAGTCTTGATTGTGTGTTGGAAGCTCGATTGGGCAGTCAACTCACCTGGCATTGATCATGAGACATCCTCAAAGCAGCGTTGAACATCTCACAAAATATCAGGCCAAGCCTGTGGCCATGCCCTACCCCAACTAACATATCCAAAGAAGGGTGTGAATTGAGGCACCCCACATCTTCTAGCTCAACGCCTTCTCAGGTAATTGCAAACTAGGCAGAAGTCATGCCATAGTTAGTCATGCCAGAATTGCAAAGATGGCCCAAGCGTTCCCAACCAAACTGCCATGGGAAACATGCAACAAGGACAGCTTTTGACTTCTGCACAAACAAAGACGTGCTTCAAAAGGGAAAAATAGAAATATTGGAAAGAACAGGTGAAGTCTGCACTTGTTTCACCAAACACCAACTAGTAGGGAGGTTAGAATAAGGAACCCTTTTTTTTGTAGTCGATGTTAGTAGGGGACCCCTGCAAACCAAAGGACGCCTAGCTGGGTGACCCATCACCACGCGCAACCTCGGCACCGTCCTCCGCCTCCGCGGCGCGCTTCTCGGCCTCCGCGGCCAGGCTGGCGCGCTGGCGCAGCTTCTCCAGCTCCTGGGCGGAGAGGTGACGTGGCGGGCCGGGGCCCCCAAGGTGTCCAACCCAAAAACATCACCTTATCTTGCACGAGCGTCCTTGCACCTCTTTGGTGTTGCGTCTGGTCACGACTTTGTCTCATGCAGGATCTTATGAACAGCAGTCTATGACAAATTGGTCTGGTATGCTTCACCCAGGGACAGGCGTGGCCGCTTGCACATTGAGAGAGACGGGAAACAATGTTTCTGGTGGCTGCAGCTCTAGTCTACCCACAGTATCGCATATATTGTTTGAGGAGAATCCACCCTATACAACCGCTCCACTAACCCGTCATCCGCAGGTACTTTAAATTGGGAGGCGACTCCAGGTTCGCCCCCTGGTGCGGTGCCCAGCCACCCAGCGCCTCGCTGGCGGCGGTTTTGTCGAGGCCCTGCTGCTGGATCTTCGTCTCCAGCTGCACTACGCGCTTGGAGAGGACGTCCTGCATGGATGACGCCTTCCGGGCCTCAAACGTCTCGAACGGGTGGAGCGAATGCGGGTGGTAGGTTGGGGGATCGTCGGGGTTGGGAATAAAACGGATCAAAAGGACCACCCAACTTGGATGGTGAACTGAGTTGATAGGTTAATCAGTTCACCAACGGTTGTCCCATGCACAACCCTGGCGATAACCTGCGTAAGAGGGGTGTTGAACATGCAAGCAGGGGGAGCGGGTGGGGGTGCTCACTCCAAACAAGAAGAGGAAATAACACTTCATCTCCTGCCAGAACTGGGACGCCTCTGAAAGTGTTTCCGTGTGGCTCTACAAAACAAACTAACAAAATTACACCAGCCTCGACCCCAAACAGCAAAAAAGCATGACCGGTCTGTATAGCCCAAAAAAAGGCTTGTCTCCTTCATGAAAGGCGCGAACTTGTGTAGCTTATGTGAGTAACACATAGTTACAATCAGTCCATGTATGTCCCTGCAGGAAGTCCCCCTTTTTGGGAAGAGGACACATCGGCATCCATCTCCTTGACGCCGTGTAAAGCATCGGTGTTGCTCATCGACTTCGAGGATACAATTCCATGTCAATGCCATGTTCGAGAGTGAAGGCCCCGGGGATTCGGGGTGAATCAACCTAACACCTGGCACTAATCAAAGGAAGTTTTCGTAGTACGGACACTCAATGCACTTTTCCATCACCAAGGCATTGGGTGGCCGTCTCGCTACTCTGCTGAAGCTTGCGCATCAGTCTCAGCAGCCTGCGGCCGAGACTGGACACATGTCACTTCTGGTTGCTATCTTCTGCTCGAGCTCGGCTAAAGGTTTTGCCACAAGCAAAGCAAGAGAGCACTTGCATAAACTTGCAGACTGCGCCTTGTAGCGTTACGGCCGGGACATCCTCTACTAGCAACGCAGACACGCGCCGCGCCAAATTGGCAAGCGTCAGCAAAGGTGCCCGTTTGGTGCGCAGCTCCAGAAAATCCTCAGTGTTTGAGCCGGCAGTAGCTTGGTCATCCAGGGTCTTCATCTCTGTCGTGTCCAGCGCGCCGCATGCTCCCAAGATGGCCAACGCATGGCTTTGCTCCATGCGCCCAACGCCTCCATTCCGGAAAAAGCTTGGCTTTGAATGTCAGCTCCAGCCTGCTCCATCACGAAAACGTGTGAGAACTTTGCCCCAACTTACCAATGCTGGCTGCACAGTGGACACCACCAGCTTGGCCGGGTTCATCTTGGAGTTGGCGCTTATGGTTCGCAGATAGGTGTTCACATGTGTGGTGAACGGCCGGCGGCCGTCATTCCAGTGCACGCCGCTGGCAACAACTTCTGGGCCTTGCGTTCAGTCAGCTCCAGCAGCACAGTAATCAACTGGCCGGGTTCATGAACTCTTTCCAAGTTGTCAAGGTCAGCGAAGTAGGTTGCCAGGAAAAGGCTCCTATGCATCAACCAAGTTTTTCAAGGAGAACTCGACAAGTGCAGGACGATGCGAACAACTCTTACAAGCTAATGGTTTGGTTGGGGAACCGACTCACCCAGGCTTTACTTCCAGGACCATTCTTTCCGGAAACCGGTCAGAAAAAACCTTGGAGCTCGGACCCCCCCTTACGATGCAACAAGATGATAAGCACGCCTGCTTGACTGTGTGTTCGCTCGTCCCTCTCTGCGATAGCACCAGATCTCCAAGAGCAAGACCAGGAAACCACCAAGCCACTCTGCGATTGGCGAAACGGCTCTTGTTGATGGCCCCAAAGAGAAACCATCAAACACGGCGGCGGCGTTAGCAACTCTTACTAGATTATACAGCCACCGAACATGTGTCGAAACATGGCCATGACCGTGTGTCCTTGTTGCAATCACCACATTGAGCACCAGCGCCGCCATTCCGTAATGTTGCTGGGAAGTTCGCCACGCACGCAGAGAGTCCAGCAGCACCGAAACCTTTTGCTTGAACGGGTCGGAATCGATGTAGTGGAGGCGAAGCTGTGTCGTCAAAGAAGAAATGGATGGACCATGTCTGTAGCATGTGTTGGTCTTGATGCTATCAGCACATCCCTCCAGCTTGGTTTCCCGACAAGCCACGTATGCTGCGAGCAAGTAGATCAGAATCTCGCCCGGAGCTGCCAAATTCAAGTCGAGATCTCGGAAAAGAACGTTGATTGCAAGAATGAAATGGAATTGCTCGGATTTCCCAAATTCTCGCTGCGGGAGGCTAGCACAAGGACCATGCAATACGGCTCACGTTGACTTTTTGGTGTGCCATGGGTCCAGAGACTGTAGGGAAGCGTGCCGCAGAGAATGGCACCTTACGACGTCCCGCCATGAAAACCCTGGAGCCCTCGCACTTGCAAGCCCTGGGCGCTTTCGGACACCTGCCAAACAGCAGCGTCCATATTGCGGAATATGTGGAAACTAGGCTGAGGAATCTGTTTTCAACCCTTCTGTCAGGAGGCAACGAGATATGTCAAAGCTGCGACCTTGCCATCACGAAGGTGTGAAATGCTTCAGCAAAATGCGTTTGTCAGTGGGACTGGATTACATAGGTTGCAATGAGGAAAAAGCGTCGCAGGACCAGCTAGCGAAGCGAAAGACTGGATATGATTTTGGCCGGGCCACATGGCTATCCAACTAAATACTGGCAACAAGATAGGAGGCAAGGTTTACAACAGCTCTGCCAACAAGAAAGGGTGCTCGAACTACAGTGATGCTACCAAGAGGAGACTAGAAGATGGGTGGCCCGAAAGCATGAGCAGCACGCGGCGCCAAGTAATCCTAGCAAGTTCTCTGCGCAAGTTCCTCTGAGCAAGGTGTTGGCGCGAGTTCCTTTGAGCAAGTTCTCCCAGCAAGTTCTTGGCACAAATTATTTGAGCAAGTTCTCTCAGCAACTTTCTCTGAACAAGTTTCAATGAGCAAGTTGTCTGAGCAAGCTCTCTGCGCGCAGCGCTTGCCGCTGCAACTTGCTAGCGCCACTTGCTGGTGCTACTTGCTAGTGCCACTGGCTAGCGCTACTGGCTCGTGCATCTCGCTAGCGCTATCTTGCTCGTGCTACTGGCTTGCGCCATTTTGCTAGTGGCATTTTGCCAGTGCAACTCGCTAGTGCTATCGCTAGTGCTACTTGCTATCGCAACTTGCTTGCGCAACTTGCTGGTGTCATCGCTGGAGGTCTTTCCTGCAGCGCCGCTTCATACGATTTTGGCTAAGACGGTGGCTGACCCGCACAAGCCCTCTGGCCACTTGGCTGGGCTCTGCTGGTGCGCCACAAGGATGCAAACCAGTCAGTTAAGGCCACTTGGCTGGGCTCTGCTGATGCGCCACAAGGATGCAAACCAGTCAGTTACGGCCACTTGGCTGGGCTTTGCTGATGCGCCAGAAGGATGCAAACCTGCACTTGACCAAGAAGCGCGGCACTGGCTTCCAAAAAGCAGCTCAGTATCCTGAGCGAAGCAATCAATATTTGTTTGTCAAGAATCCAGACACATTTAAGGCTCGACAGGTCTCTGCTGATGCGCCAGAAGGATGCAAACCTGCACTTGACCAACTGGCTTCCAAAAAGCAAGCTCAGAATCCTGAGCAAAGCAATCAGGCGGATGCCACAGTATTTGTTTATCGAGAACAACAGTACATATTTAAGGCTTGGTAGGGCTCTGCTGATGTGCCAGAGTGCAAACCTGCACTTGACGAACAAGTGCGGCGCTTCCAAAAAGCAGCTCAGAATCCTGAGCAAAGTAATTGTTTACCGAGAACAAAATGGACACATTCAAGGCTCGACAGGGCCCTGCTGATGCGCCACAAGGATGCAAACCTGCGCTTGACCAAGAAGTGCGGCGCTGGCTTCCACAAAGCAGCTCTGTATCAGCCGGACGTCACGGTATTTGTTCAGCTGATGCGCTACAAGACTGCAAACCTGCACTTGACCAAGCATTTAAGGCTCGACAGAGCTCAGCTGATGCGCCACAAGGATGCAAACTTGCACTTGACCAAGAAGTGCGGCACTGGCTTCCAAAAAGCAGCTCAGTATCAGCCGTATTTGTCTATTGAAACCAGTCTACATATTTAAGGCTTGACAGGGCTCCGCTGATGCGCCACAAGGATGCAAACCTGCACTTGACCAAGAAGTGCGGCACTGGCTTCCAAAAAGCAATCAGCCGAATGTCACTATATATTTGATTTTCATCGAGAGAAACATAGACATATTAAAGGCTCGACAGGGCCCTGCTGATGCGCCACAAGGATGCAAACCTGCACTTGACCAAGAAGTGCGGCACTGGCTTCTAAAAAGCAGCTCAGTTTCCTGAGCAAAGCAATCAGTCGGATGTCACGATTTGTTTGTTTAACGACAAATAATGTAAGGCTCGACATTGCTTGTTTCTAGGTCCAACGATGCTCCACAAGGATGCAAACCTGCGCTTGGCCAAGAGAGAGGCACATCCTTTGCACGCAGGCTAGCAGCAAAATCTGCGACATGCTCTTTCCCCGTTCCGAAACATTGTTGCAAGTGGTTCCTGCTGACTTGCCGAATCTATGTTTCTAGCTTGATGCTTCTCAATTGCGCTTTGCGAGCTGCTGCCACGTGAGCCAAAGGGAGCCGTAGGGAGCCGAACACCGGTTACTGGATGCCAAGCAAGAAACAGGTTCAGTTAATTTTGTCCTTTTTCCTGCTGAGGGCTGTAAGCAGGAAAACAGCCAGCTGGCAGCAACGAGCGCAGAGACTGGGAGAAACAGGGGGGAGTCACAGCATCTGCAGAGACTGGGAGACACAGGGAGACAAGTCACAGCATCTGGCATCTGACCGCAGAGACTGGGGAAGACAGGCGGAAGACACGACCCCAGAGCCAGCATCACCATCCAGACACAGGGAGACAAGCGGGAGACACAGAAAGACAAGCGGGAGACACGACCCCGGAGCCAGCGTCACAGCATCTGGCATTTGACCGCAGAGACTGGGAGACACAGGGAGACAAGCGGGAAACACATCCCGGGAGACACGCCGCTGGCGTCAGCGCAGAGCCAGCGTCACAGCATCTGGCATCCAGATACAGAAAGACAAGCGGGAGACACGACCCCGGAGCCAGCGCCACCGCAGAGACTGGGAGACAAGCGGGAGCCAGCATCACAAAAAACACAACCCTGGAGCCAGCGTCACAGCAATTCACAGCATCTGGCATCCAGACACAGGGAGACAAGCGGGAGACACGACCCCGGAGCCCGCGTCACAGCATCTGGCATCTGACCGCAGAGACTGGGAGACACAGGGAGACAAGCGGGAAACACATCCCGGGAGACACGCAGCTGGCGACGACCCCGGAGCCAGCGTCACAGCATCCGACCGCAGAGACTGGGAGACAAGCGGGAGCCAGCATCACAAAAAACACAACCCTGGAGCCAGCGTCACAGCAATTCACAGCATCTGGCATCCAGACACAGGGAGACAAGCGGGAGACACGACCCCGGAGCCCGCGTCACAGCATCTGGCATCTGACCGCAGAGACTGGGAGACACAGGGAGACAAGCGGGAGACACGACCCTGGAGCAGCGTCACAGCATCTGGCATCTGACCGGAGAGACTGGGAGACAGGAAGACAAGCGGAAAACAGGACCCCGGAATCGGCGTCACACTTTCCTATTCTCTATACCTCAAGCTAGAACCCCAATGCTTCGCTGTTTGGGGAAATACCTTAGCAAACTCCGCCAAAAACAGCATGCATGCAGCTAGGAAGCTGACGGGAAACATGCACGCACGCCAGCTCACCCAAGTGGCCCGAAAGAGGTGATGTCACCAAACCCACTTCTCATTCAGCACATGGCGAACGGATACTTATGTTTTGGTCACAACCCTTGGTTGGGGGGGATGGGGGTGGGATTTGTCGACCAGCCATTGTTAAGTGCAGAGCACCCCCCAACAGTGAAAATACACACACACACACACTTGACCTACTTCCCGAAAGGAGATGACATCCGCTTCTAAATCTGGTCCATATCTGGTCAATATTTGCTGGGGAGACATGCCCGCTGCGCTTTCCAACGCCCAAGCACTGTCAAGCAGACGTTTCACCAGAAAAATGCGAGGTCTTCGTTGGCCAAGCCTCGCATTTTTCCTCCTTGGCCCCCTGCTCTGCTTTTAAGAGGGTAATTAGGATTCTTTAGAATGGTCTCACACACACACACCTGTTTTATGAACAGGGAGGCTCACTGAATTCTAGACCGCGCGCATCCATGTTGCGCTGTTCTGCTTGAAATTAGGAAAGTTCGAAAAATCCTGGCGAAATGCTCGTCGCGCACCTTCATGTTGCGCTGAGCCACGGATAGTGCAAGGTTTCATGGTTGCAGCAAAAACGGTACTTCTGGACTGCGCACATCCATGTTGCGCTGTCCCACATGCAAATTTCGGGTGTAATTCTCTTCGCGCGCCTTCCGGGCAGCGGCTCTAAAGTCAAATCTTCTCTACCAACCTGCGCCGGCCTCACAGCTTGTCCCGCTGTGTTGGCTACTCTGGGCGGAACAGCTTTCACTTCACGCTGTAAACTGCCCTGTAAGGCTTCCATCTTGTGTTCAATCAAGTGATGTCGTCATCAAGGTGTGTGGAGATTATACGTCTGCTTTCTGTTCGTGACCTCTTTTGTACAATCCTTCAGTGCAAACCAAGCTCATGAAAAGCTGCGATCAAGGTTCAGTAGGAGGACGCTCCGTTTGGGTAAGCGTACTGATTGGATAGTGATTTCTGGCCCCGTAGGACCGACGCCGGGCGCTTTGGCGTTCCCGGCCGAACAGCCACACTTGATCTGCTCCCCGATCGCAGATGACATCCGCTACTGAATCTGGTTCATATCTGGTCAATACTTGCATATTCTGGGGGGAGACATGCCCTGTCAAGCAGGTACGTTTCACCAGAAAATGCGAGGTCTTCGTTGGCCAAGGCTCGCATTTTTCTTCCTTGGCCCCTTGCTCTGCTTTCAAGAGGGTGCGATTTTTTGTTCGCAGAATGGTCACACACACAACCATATGCGTCGGTCTCCCAAATGGTAAAAACTCCGAAATGAATGCGTTTTTCCATTTATGCTCCATTTCAATCCATCACGCAAACGGGTACCTAGCCTCAACCACTTCAAGACATATTCCAGGGCTCAAAGGCCTCCGGGATGAAAATGTGTCCCGTGGCTCTCCGAAACCTTGACCCAGTTGACCAACCCAGAGGCTCCTGGCTTCGGCTTTTTCAATGGAAGACCCGGGCCCTCCATTTCAACACCCCGGAGTTGTGACAACCTGGCTGGAGGGCCCCAAAAACATCCGGAGCCTCTGGGAAAGAAAAATCACCAGCAGGAGACACAGCACTGCCCGCCGCTCGCCCTGAGCGCTGGGCAGACTCCTCGTGAGCCTCCTGGGAGGCACGCAGCTGCTCCTGCGCCGTCACCAGCTCCTCGGCTCAAAGCCGACCCCCGGTTTGGACGTGGCGTTGGTGGATTCCCTCTCGGATATGGCTGTGGGTCAAAAGTGGATACCCAAAATGGAACCCAGGATTACAACCTGGGGTCCCTGGTGGTTTAATTTTGACCCACACCCATATTAAAGGAGAACTAAACGAATACTAAAGGAGGACCAAAACAGGGGGAAGAACAGGTGAAAACCACAAAAGGCGCATCCAAGACGTTTTCTAGATCAATTCTTCCTTTGGTGGCTGTGGGTCGAAAAATCGGGTAACCTCAAAATGGAACCAGCAAATGGAACCAAGGACTAAAACTTGCGGTTCCCTGGTGGCTGAAGTTTGACCCATACCCTTGTGGATATTGGGCAGTTGTTCCCCTGAAAGGTCGGACTTTGGTTTGCTTGCAGGGGTGTTTCCCCCGCCTGCCCAGCTAGAAATTTAAATGGCAACCATAAGGTATGTGTCAAGCGTGTAAAGCCCAGAAAATCATGACCTGACACGTGAGCAGCGTTTTGGTTGGGTACGTTGATGAAAACACCCTGCGAAGCCTACTCTCAGCGCGCAGCCTACCTCGGCAGCCCGTTTGTAAGTTTGCACCGGTTGGGACAACTTGTTAAGCACTTGTCTCAGAGTTCCGCGAGCCTCCTTGTAGGGTTGAAACGAGTTGCTGAGAATAGAACCAACCAAACATGGGGACTGAAAACCAACATAGACATTGCGAGCTCGACTGAAGGTCAAACAGGCTAGAAAATAGCTAACTCAGTTTGCCCACAATAGAATGTCATATACTTCGCCATGCTTTGCGGCTTACATCAAAACAATTGCCCTCTAACCAGTGAGCCCCTCAAACTGCAACCACTGCAACTAAAAGTGGACCAAACACAAAACTAAACAAAAGGTCGGATCCAGTTGATTCGCTTTCGGGCTTACACAATAAAATTATAACCAACTAGTGGCTCAAAGGCTCAAAGGAACCGGAACCCTTCTCCTTCCAGTTATCATCCCGGAAGACCACCCTTTAACAGACCGCTCTGTGGATTCCATGCTAGTGGATGCGGGCTTGTGAATCTGGGGTTCCCTTTATTTTGCGCCCTCTCAAAAATGCAACCGCAAGCGTACTCTCTAAGTGCCGCAAAGCCTCAAAGGAACCAGAACCCCCCCCTCCCCTGTTTTTCCCAGACATGTTGCGAGAATGCAACCACTTCCAGCGCCCCCCCAACCCCCCACCCCCCGCCGCAGGCGATCTCCTTGTCCTTGCGCGCGGCCGCCTCCTGCAGTCCCTGGATCTCCGCCTCGTAGGTCGCCTTCAGCGAGCCGATGTCCGCCAGCGTGCGCTGGTACTCCGAGGCCAGCTGCTGCATGTGCCTCGCTTCGAGGGGTTGATTCTCTTCTAGGAACCACCAGTTGGGACGGGTCCCCTTAAAGGGAACCGCCAGGTAGTGAATGACGTAGAGGTGGATTCCCCATTCCATTCTAAGTGGCAGCGATGACAAAGAGCTTTCTACTGGCTGATTCCCTTTCAAAGCCACAAAACAGCGGAAACCTCAAAAACAGACGCCAACATTTATAGGGGTTGACTCCGATTCCATTCTGCTCAACCATCGTTATTTTATCAACAACCGGATCTGTTTCCCTTGGGCTATTGATGGTTTCCTGAACTCAGTCAATTGTTCAGTGACCCTGGAAAAAAAGGGAACCCTTTGTGGGGAAGACCATGTCTAGTGAGGCAGCCACCAAAAAAAGGAAACAGGGTGCCACTGAACAACTGAGTTTCAGCCATCGTTCTTTTCAAAAACCGGATCTGTTTCCCCTGGGTTTTTTGATGGTTTCCTGGAAATAATTATCCCTGGAAAGAATGGGGAAGGTTCCCCTAGATCAGTCGGTACACGCTGTCGGCTTCCCCCCAAACACGGAGACGTGGAGAGTGGAGAGGTGACCCAAGGTCCTTTTCTGAGCTTACCTGGTACCCCCACAAAAACAGCCAAAAAACTCGGCCTCCCCACAAAAACCGGAAGAAGGGCGGGGGGGGGATACGCTCCCACCAATTACATAATAGAGGTGAAACCCAACGTTCGGGACCCGGTCCCTTTAAAAGGACAGTGCTCCAAACCAGTGACCAGGACCCCGAACGTCAGCTTCCATGTTTTCACTGGGTGGGAGGGCACCTGGAGTCTCCACCCTTTCAACATGAAATCATCTACCCAAAGTAAGGGTCACTGAAGTTCCCCTGAAGTTGCAACTTGGTCATGGGTTCCAAGAAACTGCCACCTAAGAAGAAAAAAGAGGGGGTACACAGAAAACCCCTACGTACAATCTGAGCATGTTCCATTTTTTTGTCTAGAATATAAGCTAGTTAGTTTTTGGAGGAGACACCGGATGTCTTTTCAGGTGAAGTGAGAAAAGCCGAGTGCATGAGTTGACTGGCCAAGAGAAGCAAACCACAACTTCGGGGCCTTAGCAAAACTCCAATTGGCGGAGAGGGTTGAAAGTTCAAGCCCCAAATTGGATAGCTGGGACACAAACGGCTTGATCTCTGGCATCGTTTGGCGCGTTTGCTTAGCTCATGTTTCAATATCAGCTTCCACGGGTTCCTAACACTTCTTCTTGAGGCAATATGGCTGTGGGGCCAGAAAAGGTAGCCAAAATGGGTCTCAGGTTGTTAACTGGGCTTTCCTCAGATCCCCCGCTAAAAGTGAACAACTTCTAGTGGGTTAGATGGACATTCCCATTGAAAGGCGTAAAAAAGTGGCAAACAGCTAAAATCCAACCACTAAACTCTAAAAAGAGCCAAAACGCTAAGGAACCAGATGGCTGGGAGCCACCAATCCCCACTCCATCCATGTCGCCCCGGCTACACCACGTCCAAGGCGCTGCTCTGCATCCGTGCCTTCCTCACGCAAAGAACCGGGCGAAACCCCGGCGAAACGCGGGTTTTTGGCTTTGGGGGGTTGGTACGAAAGATCGGCCAAGTGGAAACATTGAACAGAATATGTTTGGTTGGCTTCTGATGCGTTCATGCGATCTTGCACCCGGATTTGTGGGGATTGGTGAATACCTGGTATTGGCTGGGCCTCCATTTGCCCATCTCTGAAGGCATAAAAGAAGCTCCCAGGTGCTTCTGTGTGTTAAGAACCCCTGCGTCCAATTGGCCACAAGGAACCAAAAGGAGGCAAGATCTTTTGGGTTGGCGCTCCACCCACACCTCACCAAGTCTGAAGTGTCGGATTGCCATTCAAGCTGATCTTGTCGACATGTACGGTGGCCAAGTATACTGTCCAGAGCTCCGAAAGTAAGTCTAGTGGGGTGTCATCTGGTAAGAAAGCGCATTTGATGTGGATGGCGCCGAAATCGAGCTAAGTTCGTCCGGAATGCGTTGCTCGAAGCGGACGCGCGCTGTCGAACATGCACATTGGCTGTGAAGCTACTCGCCGCCACTCATTTAGATTAGTCTGCAGGTTCACGGACTTCATACATCTCCAAAAATTGCTACAGGCATCCTTGTGCCTGGTGTCTGTTCCAACCTTGTGCTTTGTCACACACACACACACACCTGACTCTAAGCAGGGTGTCCTTCTTCTGGCCCCTTCTTGGCACAAAACAGTGCACCCAAAAAAACATGTACGAGCCATGTTTGCGGGGATCTTGTTGGTCCCCATTTCAATCATCGACTGAGCAACTCCCAGCACTGTGAAACCGATTGACCTGGAGAGAAATTGTCTCGACCCGGGGGGTCGTCTACGTCCCCGGCCCAACAAGCGAACGCTTGGTGTGTAACCACGATAGACGATAGAGGTCACACCCTCACCCTGTGGTGCCAAACAAGGTGAGCCTGGAAAAGGTGTTCGGCACCCTTTTGTCCTTTACGCTCGGTGGGCTTCTTGCTTAAGGGTCAGTTGCTTTGTCCACCGGATCACTGGGCAACCTGGCTTTTGTAACAGGCCTCGGCTTCCCGTTGACCTCGAAAAAGACTCTTTTTGTCATTACCCCTTTTCAAGTAAAATCATACCCGGACATCAAGGGCAAAAAGGTATCACTGAACACTTCGGAACGAGTCCCACCGGACTGCATGGGGCGCAAAGAGCCCACCAACAAATCAAAAGGGTGCTAAATACAACATTATTTGTCCAATCTTGCTTTCCAACAAGAGCTTGTTTTTTTGGAAGGAGAATAGTAAACAAGCCGTTTCTCTAAACTTACCAAATTTCCTTCATGGCGTTTCGACCCAGGACCTGAAGCTTCAAAACCCCGCGGCTCCTGGGAGCTGTGCCGCAGCTTCTCGAGTTCTTCCCGCAGCAGCGCCACTTCTTCCTCCGCCGCGCTGCTGGTCAGCAGCTCCGATCCTCACCCCAAAACCCCAAAACCCGCCGGAAGCAATTCGATTGGCGTGCGGGGTTCTACCATGGACAAATCGAGGTCATGAAAGTGGGTCGTTTTGAAGGTACACTTTTCGGGGTTGGTTGCTTGGCCGTCTTGGCCCGAAAAAGAAGAAATTAGTTGCAGGAAAGGAACTCGCCAAAAACCCTCAATTGTTGGAGAATTTCATGCTGGTTTGATAGAAAGTTTCTGCAGTCCTTAAGAAGCACCCCCCAGGTAAAACCACCTAAGAATGGTCAAGCCGCGGTGTTTCGGCGGATGGGCTCTCAAGACTGGACACCTAAACCCCAATTTCCCCGCGTGTGTGGCTGCGACTGAAGCCCCTGGCATCAATTGATCCAAGCTGCTGAGTATGGACGCCTCCTGCAAGGCCTCCTGCAGCGCTGCCTGGAAGCGCGAAGCTCACACCGCGCGAGTGAACCCAGGAGGAGGTCACGACCAATACACGGCTGACTTGCCCTGATTCCTGATTCGACTGGGTGTAAGCGGAGGTCTGGGACAAACGGAACACTAGCCTTGATAAAAACTTAAAAGACAGGGCTGCTGGCACAACATTGTTTATAGAAGCCGCTAGCTTTCAAGATATGGCCTTGGCTTTCCACGGTCGTGTTATCGTGGCAACCGTCACAGGGGTTGTCAAAGCTTCTTGGACCCCCTTGTCCCACCCTCGACCGCCCCATCCCTCATTTTGACTTCACGTTTTTACATGGTGCGGACCAGAGTCCTCTACGAGTTCCAGAAAAAGGCCTCTCAGTTGGCCCCCCTTTCACACCCCACCCAAAAAAAAGAATAAACTTGGCCCAAAAGGGGATTGTTTTGAAACCACCAAGAGGGGAAACATGAAGGGTGGGTCTTTGAACCCTGCACCCACTTGTCCCGGTGCGCTGGGTACAATGTTCAATGTCCAAATGCTTCAAAGGCGGGGACCCGGCTTTCTGCCAAACGGTATGTGCCAAAATAAGGGTGCCCTAAAAATTGCCTGGCTCCTTTTGGTTGGCATTCAAAACACCCAAACGAAGGCACTCTCCAAAACATCAAAGATGGTCCCCGTTCAAAGGCAGGTTGTCTCTTGTTCGGGAAAACCCCCCACCCCCAGAATGAACGGTTTCCTTTAGGTTTCCCTTTAAAGCCAACCAAACAACCCACAGGGTACCATGCAAAAATGGCTTGCTCCCTTCTTGGCTTAGCTTCAGCAAACCAAACCGAAAGTCCCCACGGACTGCGTCTCGGACTAAAACAGGCCTCGTGGTTCCAAAGCGCGGTGCCTGCTTGCGCGAGCTTGTCTTTGCCTCAGGTTGCAACTCTGGTACGCGTGGTCAAACTTACCAAACGCTGACGCGGCCTTACGCCACGTTGCTGTTTTCCTTGCGTGGGGAGCCCTTATGACCGCCATCTTCCTCATTTGCAGCGCAGCTAGGTTTCGAACCCTGCTCGAATGGGAAACACTACACAAATGCCCATTGTCGAGTTTTTTGAGGGCCAATCACTTACGAACATGGATACGATATATCCACAAGTGTGTAAAAGCAGGAGGGTTAGGGGTTGGTGGACATCAATGTTATGACTGAGCAGGGTGTAACCCATGGGCATGAATGAGCGTGCGTGCGTGCGTGCGTGCGTGCGTGCGTGCGTGCGTGCGTGCGTGCGTGCGTGCGTGCGTGCGTGCGTGCGTGCGTGCGTGCGTGCGTGCGTGCGTGCGTGCGTGCGCGTGCGTGCGTGCGTGCGTGCGTGCGTGCGTGCGTGCGTGCGTGCGTGCGTGCGTGCGTGCGTGCGTGCGTGCGTGCGTGCGTGCGTGTGTGTGTGTGTGTGTGTGTTCTGATGGGTACGTGGGCTGGAAGTAACCATGGTTATCACAGGCCCCTGCTTTGCGTGGGGATCCTCCGAATCAGATGGTCAAGGCGAATGATTTATTTCTTTAGTAGCCTTGGACAACGTCAGTTTGCAACCATGGATATAAGCGGTTACTAAGGCTAACCCCCAAGGCGCACTAAGCGGGTGTAAGTGCCTACTAAGTGGCTTACTAAGGTTCTGTGGGTTAACCATCGACACCAGCTTGTCTACCGGTGATTGTTAAAATATACCCTGCAAGATACCCTGCCACCCCTCCAAAAAAAAGCAAAGCAACTCTGAGTCAAATGGTCTTTTCCAGGTCCTCCGGTGGAGAGGTTAGAATAAGGGTACCCTTTTTTCAGTAGTCCATTTTTCGAAGGGGAACCCTCCCCCAAAAAGGAAACGGGAAAAAGTTGGCGCCTAGCTGGGGGACCTTGTTTTCAAAGCGAGCCACCGGGCAACGCAACGTGGGTTCCACCCACTTGGCCCAAGCGGCACTCCGCGTTTTCCGCCTGCAGCGCCGCCAACTGCTGCTCGAGACCAGGCAGGTCCTCGAGCGAGAAGCCCCAGGGGTTTGGAACCCCAGACCCCGAAGCACGGGGGTACCCTCACTGCCACTTGGCACCTGACCAGGGGTCCCTGCAAGAGGAAAACATATCTTTCAGGTACAACATTACTCATACTCCACATGAATCAACCAACCTGTTTGTTAATATAAAGGGGGGTCCATTTTTCAGGGTTTAGTGGGGAATCAGACCACTTTTGGAGGGGCCTCCACCCCCAAATACTAAAGTGGGGTTGATTAATATGGAGTCAACATTACTCATTCTTCGACTCAACGGACAGTCGTTAGCAACTGGGGAGACCCCTGCCTGGCCCAGCCTCGCTTTCTTGGCACAAGGGGTCACCCTCCTCCCCCACTTCCATTTGTCTAAGATGGTTTCCACACAACCACTGCCCGCGAACATGAACAAACATACCCTTGTGCAGTGGCTATATGTAATACCGTGGATGGTTGCAACATCCATTTCGCACCACTGCTCAGAAATTATGGCTTCTGATTGGATTCCCCAGCATAAATACCGTAGAAAAACGTTCTGGTTTCTCCTGGTTTCAAAGTGCCTACGAAACCCCGGAATGATGCTTCCCCTGTAAATGCCAGCAAACGCTATGGTTCCAAAGTGGCGCGAGCAGATTCCAAACCATCCACAGCATCACTTCCATCGCAACTTTTATTTGCTTAAGGTTGCTGGGCAAAAACAAAATTATGTCCAGTAGTGATCCATTGCTTTTAAAACCAACAGGGAAAAACAAAACATATTCTTAAGCAAATGGAAGGCAACCATTGCCCTTGGGTCGTTTCGGAGTTTCCCTGTCCTCTTGCTGCAGGGCCCGCAGCTCCGCGTTCTCCTGAGAGGCATCTCTGCTTTGCCTCCCCCGAATTGGGTGCTTTGGTGTGGTGCTGAGGTTTTCCCTTGTGGTTTCCATCAAAACACAGGGGTCAAATCCCCAAAACGCAAATCCAAACCACCAACCAAGTACCTGACAAATCCAAACAACAAACCAAGTACCTGACAAAGGCAAATAGAAGCACGGGCAGGGCGGCGGAACATAACACAGGAAGTTCAATTCCAGGAACTCGAACGGACGAGATAGATGCAATCAAACGGGCAGAATTATGTTTAGGAATCGCACACACACATATCCTTGGGCGTTGAGCCTCAAACAAGAACAAACACATTTTGACACATGCCCACCTAAGTTCCGCTTCCCTGTCGAATTTCCTCAGGGATCCTTACATTATACACCTGAACATTGCCTTGTAATTGGTGGTTTCCCTTTCTTTTGGTGGAAAAAGCAAAAATGTATCTTTTCAGGAGCCCTGTTCCTGTTGCTGGCTTCGTGGAACCAATCCACACCCCAGGCTTCCCTCAAAGCCCCTCCGCCCGAATCTCGGCCGAGTCCTTCTCGAGACGCGCGCGTGCGCTGAGCGCCTCCTTCAACTGACCCTGCACTCCCTGAACCTGGACGTGAGCTGGCTGGTCCCACTGGTGGGTGTGAAAGGAAACTGGAAAATCTGCATGTAGGAACGGAAAATCCACAGCACTCATCCACCAACCCTCAGCTCCATCAACAGGTGGTCCTTTTGTTTTATCTGGTAACATCACCCCACCAAACGGAGACTCACTTTAACTTTCGATTCACCCTTGAAGGCAATGCATACACACACTAAACTTGTATCATAAGTATTATCTCGGTTGCTTTCTGCTCCCCTGCTAAAAGTTTAACTTTTAGTCGTTTAATGAAAACCCATTGGCTGGCAAAATGTTAAAGTCTCAACATCCAAGCAACATGCACCAAAGTTATGTGTCTGGTTTTTTGAGGGTACCCATCCTTGTGTTGTTCGGATCCCCTAGGAACCGCCCCAGACCTCACCGTGCCGCCGGCTTTTGCGCGCGCCGCCGGCGCGTCCACGCGAGCGAAAGCGAGCGAGCGCGTTCGAAAGCCTGACGCAGGATCCGGTCCAGGGCTTCCTGGTGATCGAGGGCATGCTGCTGCGCAGCCTTCTCGACCTGAACCACGGCTGCGGGCGCCCGCCGAAGGAACCCAGAGGGTAGCGTGGGGTGCCCGCCTGCCCCAACCCAGCCAAACCCAAAGGAACGCAACCCAAGGCAACCCAAAACAAGGCCAAACCCACGGGAAGCCAAGGGAAGTGCCCACCCCCACCCCCCAAACCCCGTTTGCCCAGACCCAAACAAAGTGTTTTACACTGGGGAGCAAACAACCAGCAACGAATACCAAAAACCAAGAACCAAGACCCAAAACAACCAACGACAAACACCAACCAAGCACATCCCCCACCCCTCCCTCCCTCCTCCCTCCCCACCCCACCCCACCCCACCCCACCCCACCCCACCCCACCCCACCCCCTTCCCCCCAAAACGCCTTGGCTTCGTGGTGCGCCACCAGCATCCGCTTCAACTCCTCGCTACCCAGCGCCTCTTCCGCCGCGCAGCGCCTCGCCCGCTGCTCCTCGCAGCTCGAGGCGCGCGGACACGGCGTGCGCACGTGCGATGGAGCCCCAGGCGGACGTCTTTGGTTGAGGTATCTGTGGATGGATGGTTGAGGTACTATGTTGGTATAAAACCGTTCCTTCTGGCTTAGTTATGGGAAATCAGTCCCAAAAAGGGCCCAAAATGGACCTGTGAATGGACAGAATCCATTTCGCACTACTTTGAAACCGCGGAAACAACATTGTTTGTTGGCATTTACATGGGAATCGAATCATTCCAGGGTTTCTTAGGTGGTGGCGGACTTCGTCCCAAGGAATTCTTGGGTCCCCAACTGAAGGATCTCTACCATGTGAGCTCATGTTTACCTGCGGGTGATGGATGGAACGAAATGAAACCAATGAACAAAACCATTGAGTGTTGTTGCTCGAGAATTGTCAGAAACCAGGGTTTCTTGGGTGGTGCAGGATGTGATCCATCCACAGTATTACAAGGGCATTGGATTTCCCCATCAAAAGTTGCAAATGACTGGCAGTGGCCATTAACACTACCACTTTGGAGGGTCCAAAAAGTGAAATGGAGGAAACCTTATATCCCCGGGGATTTTAGAGGTATCTACTTTGGGGGGCCCATGCTGTTTTAGAGCTTGCCCCCAATGTTTTCCGACTTACAGGTGTACACCCACTAAAGAGCAAATCAGAAAGCTTATTGACAACAGCAGCTATTCACGGAAGTGCGACTAAAAAACCGGGTAGAACGACTAGCCAGCTGAACAACCAACCTGGCTACCGGCGCAATCAGCCCTTTTGTCGTTTTTTTTTGTTAAAGGGTTCCTACCAGAAACTAGCCAGTAGAACGTCCAAAGCATCACACGACACCCCCTCAACCACAAGCAAGTCCCTTGAGCTGTCACGGCCCGACCCAATTTGGGCTAAGGATGCGCTGGAGTTCCCTTGCAGCACATATCCTAAAAGGTGAAGCACTTGCAACCTCGAGCGCGTTTGCTCTGCGATGTTTCAGGAAGGGTGGGACCAGTCGATTCCCAAGTCATTTCCGCGCTTCGAAAGGAGGCTTCATGACCCACACTTGCCAGGTTCGCGTGAGTTCCACGACTCACCAAGTAACCCGGCCTTCATTCCTTCCAGGGATCCGAATCTTTCTTACCTCTGGAAGGTGTTGAAAAGAATGGAATCGGAATCAACCCCTAGATTCTGGTCAACTATATACCCAGAATGGAACCCTGGTAAGTGGAAGCAAGCACTAGCCTGCGGTCCCCTGGTGTCATATTTTTGGCCCATACCCAACTCTTGTTTCCCTTCCACGTGCCACCCCCCTCAAACCGTTCAGGTGCCTCCGGCGTGGTGCCGGGGCTGCTGAAGGCGTCCACAAAGCTTTGCTTCGCCATGTCCTGACGCGCTGCCAGCTGCCAGCTGTGACCAGTGCAAACCAAAAAACGGCACTAGGTCCTCCAGAAGCCCCAACAATTATGAGCGAATTTCGTTTTTTAGAGCAATTTGGGGTCCAGGTTGTCTCTTCCAAGCTCGTTGTCTAGGTCCTCCAGATTTGAGAGGTTAGAATAAGTTGGTACCCGACTTTTTCTTTTCTGTAGTCTACTTTAGTAGGGGAATCCTCCCCCCCAAAAAAGAAACGGTAAAAGGGCACCAGTGGGGGACCTAGGGCAAGGAAAAATTGGCGAACCCACCATGCACTGGTTAACCAATGATTGGTTGGCTTTGAATTTATGTTGTAAACAATTGGATAATTCAACTAACCCATCATGTATAGGCTAAAGGCCTGAAGGTTCAAATGCCATGTTACCGCCATGAAGGCAACTGGAAGCACCGGCAAAACTTCAAACATTGGTGAACCAGGGCTTTAGGAGAAACACATTTACACCCTGAAAAAAGAAACCGAACTGCGAACAAAGATGGCAATACTTGCCTCATTCCTGCATGCAATTCCATGCTTGTGGGAAAATGCAACATCCCATCCCAGTGTTCACAATCCACGTGTTTCGATTTGGATCCCAACATGCCCTTTCACACCCGGTTCCCTGGAACCTGACAAGAGGGTTGTTTGGACCAACTTGCTCTCAAAGGAACCTCCTTTTTGGTTTGAACTCCAACCTGTGAGAAAATGAGAGCACCCTGATGTATCATGGTTCACCCAAAGAATGCTTTCTTTCATTGCTCTCTTGGCCTCTCCAGCTTTTCTTTTACATTTGCAAGGCTCACGGTTTCCTGTGGGTCCTCTCCTTCTTAGGGCCATGGTTTTTCGCTTCCGCGGGGTAGGTTGACCCTTGGGCTCCAGAAGGCGAGGCCCCTGCAGGCCGAGACACCGCCTCATGCTGCGCCTCCTGGTCCGGAGAGAAGCGGACCAGGTGCGCCTGCCGAACGGCAGGCACCCCAAAGGACTAAAACTGGGTCCTTCAGATTTTCGTTGGTCCCCTCTTTTTTCTGTATTCTATTGTAACCTTTTGTTCTGTAGTGTAGTATAGTAGGGGACTCCCACAAAAAGAAAGGGTAAAAGGGCACTACTGCGAGACCTAGAAAACGTGACCCACGTGACCCACAACCCTCCGGTCCACGTTGCCACGGAACCTGACATTTCAGTGTCCCGAGAAACTAGCTTCCTTTCAAAGGACCCTTCTGGTGGGTTCCATGTTAGTGGCCAGGAGGATAACACCCATTCCGGGCCGCCCCAAAAGGACACTCGGGCATGACTGCCCACCAGTTGCACACGCGACAAATGCCTTTTTTCAGATGGGCGTAAGAAGCCCGTTGCACCATGTCAAGACAAAATCAGCCGCAACCCAAGACATGGTCGAACGAGGTTGCCCAAAAAAAGTGGCAACGCCCAAGGTGCCTCTTTGCAGCCAGCTGTTGACACACGCAAAATGTCGACAGCTGCCAAACAAAGATATTTTGGGCACGGATCAATCACCCAAGGGCCAACTCGCATACCCCAAATGGACATATCACACCTATAGGCCATAAAAAGGTCTGTTCTTTTTGTTGGGGGGGCAGCCTTTTATCACCTATGTACCACTCATGTTGGGGGTATGTCTACAGGTTGAAGGGAAGATGCAGGAACACCACAACCGGTTTTGGGGCTTCCCTTAAAGGAAACCATAGGATGGATGGGGGATGCCCATTTGGGGCCAGCACGCTGCGGCCGCAAGCGGCGGGTCCTGAAAGCTGGCCACCCAGTTGGCTTTGGCCCGGGCCGCTTCCTCTGCAAAGTCCTCGCTCGAGTTGCGGCGGCTCGGCTTCGATCCGATCCAAGCGGCGGATCCGGCGATTCGGCAAAGCGGACTTGGCCAAGGTCCAACCGTGGGTCGGTTGCAAGCAAATTTGATTGCCAAAGTGTTTAACTTTTTTTTTTTGGGGGGGGGGAGTTAGTGAAAAAACCCGACTTGATTTTCAAAAAAAAGAAAGTCTAAAAATCCAACCGAATAGCAGGCAAGCAACGGGTTTGGTGCTGTTTTGTCTCCCCATGTTGGGAGTTGATCAACAGGTCCGTTCCATGGGGGGGGGTTGTTACGGAAAAACACAAACAAGGATGACTTTCAGACGAAATGGGAAAAGTTAGCCATCGTCCTTTACTGGGGTCCAGGCATTTGCCGGGGATACCACCAGAGCATATGACCGCTAAATCCCACTCCATGAGGTAAACCCTGGGTCACGTGTTGGCATTTTTTTATCATGGGTTGTGCGGGATTTGGCCTTCCCAAGAAGTACGACGTCCAGAAACGCGGAAGTGAGGTGCGATGCAGTTTGAGGGTTGGGCAAGAGAACTTGCTGAGACCAAATATTGAAATACAGCCAGAACAACAAACCTACGCCTGGGATGCGGATGGGCTCAGCATCAAGAAATGGCAGCTGTGACATGATTTTAATAGCAGCTGCTTTGAAGGAAGCCATCTGCTTCCGAATACGGCACTTTGGCTCTTCGGCATCACGCTTTCCTGGCCACTGGTTTCATCTTGCGGCACGCATGCGGATAGATATGCAGTAACATCACACCATGATTAAATCAGTATGTGCCAGCACGAAACGGCTGCCATGTGCTTGGCAAAATCGCAAGTTCTCTCAAATCCGGGGGTCAGCATCACATAGGGCCATGGGTCAAAAGCCCCTACACTCAGCGAACATCCCAATCTTAACTAAAATAGACTAAAATGGGCGGTGAATTCACCCACCAACCAAAATGCTACTATTGCTTTGACCCACAGCCAGATCACAACCGCAAGTCCCCGGTCCTCGGGAGATACGTTCCCAAGATCCGGCTCGACCTCCCCAGGCCGGGCACAAGCCTTGCTTAGGAAAAGGCTCCCGCTAGCTTAGGTCCTCCACAAAAGAGGTTAGAATAAGGGTACCCTTTTTGCTGTAGTCTATTATAGTAGGGGAAGCCTCCGCCCAAAAAGGGTACAAGGGCACTAGTGGGGACCTAGACCCTTTCCAGGGAAGTGGTTGGGAAAGCGACATCCCTTTTGCAATACGTTAAGAAATCAGCAAGCCTCTGGTTTGACTGAAGGCAAAGCATTGGGCAAGGTTTGGCCTCGAGCCAGATCACGGCGTCACGCCTGGCCTAGCTTTTTGAGCCCGTTTGGTGTTTGAACCCCTGGTGTCTCATTTTCTGCATGTTCTTCGACCTGTCTGCTTGTTGGCTTTGTCCAAAAAAAGGAGTGGGATGAGTCAACCGCGGGGCATGGTCTATTTGAGGTCCACCTCTAGCTCGGTGCCACCGCTTCAAACATAGAACCAGTTTCAATACTGACTGGTCGGTTTTGGTTAAAGGGAGTGAAACAGTGTGAAACTGCACAATGTGTCAAACTAGGGGACGGCATCCAACCTTCGCTGTTCTTTTTGCAGGGTTTTCTCTTCTAGGTTCTCCAGTGGAGAGCTTAGAATAAGGGTACCAACTTTTTCCTGTAGTCTATTTCAGTAAGGGAACCCTCCCAACCAAAAAAGGGGTGAGAAAGGGCACTACTGGAAGTTGTCTTGAAGAAGTTGGTAAAGCAAGTTGGGCTGTTCCAAACTAGTTGCTACTAGGAAGTATGGTTTGGCTAGTTGGTAGAAGTTTCTTGAAGCCAAGGTGAAACCGGGGTCAAACAAGCCGCCCCCTGCCTCCTCCGGCGCCTCCAGCTCCGGCACCTCTGCTTCCGCCGGCGCCTCCGGCGCTTTGGATTCCGCCGGAGCAGCCGCTTGAGCCTTTGAAGTCGACGCGCGAGCAGGGTCTATGGCTGTGGTTGTCAAAACCCCGGAAACCCCTGGTGAACATCAGAACAGGCAAATAAAACCCAGGAAGCCCCTGGTGAACATCAAAGGTGGCAAATGGATGTTCAGCCACCCCAAACTGGGGTCGCCATAGGTTATGCCCACCATATGGGCCATCAGGGGGGGACATGGCTTCTATCCAGGCAGCACAACCACAAGCAACGGTGAGAAAGATGAGCCGTACTCAAAACCCGGTATTAACATGGTCCACCCAGAAGCATGTAAAGAATTAAGAAGGCGGCCGCAGCTATTTATGGTTGGGCGTGGCTCAAAATTGAACAGCGAGGGTTATGCAGCTTTTAGTCTCTGGTTCCATCTGCCAAGGTGCCATTTTAGTACATGTCTTTGAGCCACAGCCATATGCGGCATCAAATAGTGAGAAAACCTTGAGTCTTGAGATATGGCAGAAGCCAGGCGGCACAACCACAAGCAATGGTGAGAAATATGGGACATCAAGGGTTTGGGTTCTAACCATGGACATAGCCTACTAAGTGGGTCGGCCATCCAAGGAGTGGTTTCCGGTGATCAATCCACAAAGAATGCGATGGGCAAATGGCAACATCACCGTGCTCACGCCTTGCCTGGATTGCTGTGGAAATTATCCTTTATATGATGCCAACGTATGCTATCCCTTATGACTGCCTTGTGAAATCTAAGGGGTTATCACAGGCATCGGTCCACAAAACAGGCGTTCCACCACCGTCATGTACCAAACCTGTTGGGCTAAGCATAGATCGAAATGGGACATCAAGGGTTCGTGGGAATCTAACTATAGCTAGAACCTATTTTACTTTGTGGGTTGACAATCCAGGTCAAGTACGTGGTTTATTCTAATACTAGGGACCCTGAGTTGTTTGTTTCCTGCTGATGGTCAAATGTCAAAGGCAAAAACTCATCACCAAAACCAACGAGAAGGGAAAACTGGCTGATCAACTAAGCGGCCTGAGCTGCCAAAGCAGCCTGAGCTTCCTGAGCTGCTTGAGCAGCCTGAGCAGCCTCAGTTGGCTGAGCGGCTTGAGCGGCCTGAGCAGCCTCAGCAGGCTGAGCGGCCTGGGCTGCCTGAGCAGCCTCAGCTGGCTGAGCGGCCTGCGCTGGCTGAGCAGCCTGCGCTGGCTCAGCTGCCTGGGCTGGCTGAGCGGCCTGCGCTGGCTGAGCGGCCTGGGCTGGCTGGGCTGCCTGCGCTGGCTGAGCGGCCTGGGCTGGCTGGGCTGCCTGGGCTGGCAGAGCAGACTGCGCTGGCTGAGCGGCCTGGGCTGGCTGAGCTGCCTGGGCTGGCTGAGCAGCTTGGGCGGCTTGCGCTGGCTGAGCGGCCTGCGCTGGCTGAGCTGCCTGGGCTGGCTGAGCGGCCTGGGCTGGCTGAGCGGCCTGGGCTGGCTGAGCGGCCTGCGCTGGCTGGGCTGCCTGTGCTACTTGGGCAGGGGCCTCTGCTGGTGCCATTTCCGTTGCATCATGGCACACCTCTTCCTCAGCTGTGAGTGCGACGTGTCAAGTCAGCCGGTTCCTTGGGTATGCTGTTGGCTTGATTCGCACCAAACTGATACCAGTGCAATCCATCTATGTTCAACTAAAGGACCTTCAAAGGACACCACTCCCCAACTCCCACACCCAACTCCCCCTACCCCCAAAGCCAACCCCCAACCCTTCCCAACCCCTCAACAACCCCCCCCTGCACCGCCTGCCCCCAGGCCGAGGCGCAGGGATGGTTTCCAGGGACGCCGCTTTCGGCGGCTTCTCCTCCCCCAAAATCCGCCTGGACGCCGCGTCCAGCAAAAGCTCCGTGCCCTTAAGGCAGCAGACCATGCCTGCAGCTCGGACCCGGCTGCAGGCTATGAGCGTCTATGAATATATATATATATATGTATATACATACAGGTATACATAAGTATGAGGTCAATGTACTCATATGTTGTAACCAAGTGTTAATACATACAAATCTATACAAATCTATCTATGGAGCCATCCATTCATCCATGCAGCCATCCAGCTTTTGCTTTGTTTGTTTATGTTTTCTTCCTCTCTCTCTCTCTCGAAGACCCTGCACGTTGGTAATGCAGGGGTATACGCACCTACCCACCTGTGAGTTCAGGGTCTTTTGGCCATACGGCCAACTCGTGGAGGGACACCCGTCTTTTCTGTTCGTTTGGGAAGGACACCAGAACTTTGGTTTTCCACTCCAAGTGTGACTGGCCCCATTATTCAACCAGTATCAAAGTCACCCCCCAAGTGGTTGGTTACAGGCAAACCACCAACCAGCTTGTGACTTTGATAACCAGACATAGTCAAAACAATGACCCCAGTGTGCCAGCTGACACACTGGGCTTAGGCAACAGCAAACTAGGGGCTCCCTGCGTCGGAAGCTGAAAATCGTTGAACCACTTGGCGGTCAAACCCCCAGCGCGAATTCAAATCCTGTCGGTTTTCAGACTAGAAATATGTGACGTGCCAAAACTTCTGCGTCACAAGTTGATGGTTGTTCCCGCGGCCCCCTTTCAAAAAAGCAACCACCAGTTTCACTCCAAATCGTAGACACTAGCTCTGCTTTTGACTGCAACGTGCGCCCAATGACCCAAACTAGAAAGCCAACCGGAACACCAGGCCAGGAGCCTTCCAACGGTAGCTTCTCAACATGCCCCAACCCTCCAATGCAAGTCTTTCCTTAGGGGTTGCCTCGAACAATATTGCAGGCCGACCATTTGAAACATGAAAACGACAAGTGACACCTAGCTTTTGTTGGCACTTGATCTTGGGAAGAAATCCCATGGCTCGGTGCGCTCACTTGGCCAAAAAATACGATGTTTACCGCTAGAAATTGCTTCCCAAACTAGGTCAGTAGAGAGGTTAGAATAAGGGTACCCACTTTTTTCTGTAGTCTATTTTAGTAGGGGTTTCCCCTCCCAACCACAAAATGGGTACAAGGGAACTACTGGGGGACCTAGCAAAACAAAAAAACATCTCCAAAAGCTCTGAACGAGAGCCCGGTTCGCAGTGGCCGAGAGGCTTTGGCCCAAGATGTCCACGAGATGTTCGCCGGCCGAGACCAAGGGGTGCTTGGAGCTCTCCTGCAAAATGGGCTCAGAGCTGCCCGTTTTCAGTTCGCCTGCTAAAAGTGAACAACCTTTCAATGGGTTCAATGGAAACTACCGCCAAACTAACAAAACAGCTAGTAAGCTAAGGGACCAGATGGCCTTCGAGAGCCAGCAAGACAAAGGACTCGATCCGGACTCGTTGGTTGTCGGGTTCCCCCCCAAAAAGTTCCCCAAAAAGTTCCCCAAAGGGGGTAGTCTCCCAGCTCACTGGATCTCCTCTTAGGTTGGTCAATCTACTCGTGTCCATTGAAGCGATCGTCACTTTTGGAGGTTGGTTCCCTTTAAAGGGAAATGACGGAAACCTTGACATTTGCCCCCTTCCAAGCCCAGAGAGATGTGATGTTCACCTCCACCTGCGAATATCTTTTTTGCCCCCTGGAAACAATACAAATATGTCAAGTAGAAAAGGCTCGTTGCTGGACCTGTGCAGCGGTCTTCGCAGCAGTCCCAAACTTTAAAATTTTGGAGTGGTAAACCATGCTCATGCAAGGTGCGTCCCATTTTGATCCGGTTCAATAAAGCGATGACGACACACCGCCATGGTTGAATCCAAAGCTCCAACATGTTTCGGCATGCGATATTTTTCGAGATGTTCCTAACCAGTGCCCAGTGTTGGCTTCAAGTGAGAAGATGCGCTAAGTGCGGAAATTGGGCAGTTGGTCCACGGGGTCGTCCCCCTTTGGCCCCGGATCTCTGGTTTCCCGCTTCGCCTCTTGACCTTCTTTTTGTGACCCGTTGAGTCCCGATCCGGACAGACGGTTCTTCCTTTCAAACATGATGAGGAAACCGAGGAACAAACATATGGGCATGGGTCAAAATCCAAATCGGTTAGCCCCCAGTCAACATCCCAATCCAACCACTAAAATAGGTTCTAAAATGGGTATTGGGTTTGACCCACAGCCATATGAAGTTGTACTTGCTCAAGAGGTAAGCCTTTCTCTCTGTTTCCTTTTTCACACTCCCCGCCCGCCCCCCCCCCCAGTTGACCCTTCGCAACAGAACCCCTCTGAATGGGTCATATCACGCGAGCTTCTAATATAGGTTTGAAGGTGACATATGGCTGCGTCTCAACATGCTGAACAAGCCCAGCGAAAACATCATTCCTAGACGTCCCTGATTTTTGCAACGCCTTGGACACTTTTTGCTCGGAACCCTGCTCTGCCCACGCCATTCACTCCTGAATCTCCGATGGCACCAGCGACACATGGAGGTCCACCTCGTAGTAGCCCAGGTATCCCTGCCACGCCCATCCAGTCTCTGGAAGTTTCTCGACGGTGCCTGCCAGGGCAAAGGGTCGCTTGGCCCGCCGCTGGGGTACACCACCAAATATGTTCACACTAGGTCCTCCAGTAAAGAGGATAGAATAAGGGTACCTTTTTTTCGGTAGTCTACTTTAGTATGTGAACCCTTCCCCCAAAAAAGGGTAAAAGGGCACTACTGGGGGACCTAGTCAACCTTGCACATGTAAATACTGTTTGACGATGATATTGAGCGCACGCCTCAAAAAACGCCATGCCTGCCAAGATGTAAATGGAGGAGTGGGGTTGTTGTGCAGGAACCTAGCCCAAGTGTACCCCCAACAGACCTAGCAAAAACTCAAAGGGTAGGGGGATGAAGTCAAGCGGATCATCAAACATCAAACGGTATAGTGCTACCCGAAGTTTCACTTTACAGTGCAAGTGTCCCATTCACACATTTCATAGCCTCCCAAAAGCGGGCCACGTTTGTCTCCAAGCGAGAAGGGCCTATGACTCACCCCCCCCCCCCCGCCCTTGTGAGAGGGGCTTGCGAAGTTCCTTGTCGGCAAACGGAGTCTGAGCTGCAGGTCGCTCCCATTTTCACTCGCATACTCCATCTTCTCTGCATTAGAACCGCAAAGTCCAGACCTGTGGCATACTTCAAGGTGGACAATGTGAAGTGTGCCACGTAGCTAATAGGGTTCCTCGGATATCCCCCTGCAAACGTTCACTAAACCCTAGAGTGATAAGATTCATGACCGCAACGGCCATGCTTTCAGGTGTTTCTGACTACATGTCAACAAGTGGTTTTGCCCGGAAAAGTGGTTGGCTGCCAATTCAAAGTGAGCTTCCCTGTGGGAGGATGATGGGTTGGAAATCTGGGCGTCTTCCTCGTGCTTTTCGGGCACCTTTTCTTGCTGGTACTCAGCAGGGAATGAGGAAATCACCCTTATAAACCATCCCTTGCGGCTTGCGAAGGGAAAAACAAAACAGGTTTATTCCCAGATTCCCTGCTGAGCACCAGCAAGTTTTCGAACCATTTCCCATCCAAAACGGATGGGAGATGGAAACAAGCCCGAAAAGGTGCCCGAACAGTAAGAAGAAAAGACTTTCATCCCAAAAACAGAATCCGCGTGTCGTGCCTGGAGCCCAGAGCAGGCAGCTCTCACCAAAGGAGTCCTCCTCTGCAATCCACCACCCTGGCTTCACCCCGCCCTCGTCCAGGAAGATGGACATCCCTCGGCAAAAAAACGCTTGACTTTTGTTGTGTGTGGCTCGTCTTTTTTCCTGGTTGGACCACCAAAATGGTATGTTTTCCATAGCTGTTTTGGTTTTTAATTTAAAACTGACAACCATGAAAACAAGGTACCAACTCCAAACATGGTGAGCCACCCATATCTCAGATTGCGCAACACGCCAGTGGGGGACCTCCGTGCATAGAGTGGAACCAACAAACAACTTGCTTAGCAGAATCCCGTGCTGAGGGATCCTTTTGGGTGAGCAATGCTCTGCCTGAAAGCCAAGTAAATCAAGGCAATGCACTGTAGTGGGAACCCTGGATTGATAAGCACTTTGTTAATTCTGAGTCGGATGGGTTCCCCTCCTTACTTTTAGTGGGACACGGGTCAACAGTACCATGCACACGTCACAGTCATAAGGACTGTACCACTCGTTCGCTGAGCTCACCATGTAGCATCGGCACTAATTTTGAACCGGGATTGATCAACCGGATATATCAACTCAAAGTCTTCTTTAACGGGGACACTTCAAGTCCACCAGGCTATTGTTCATCCTGAGCCTTCAGAAGGGACCTCTAGTCGGTTCGAATGTATGTGAAACCGAGTGCCCCGTTCTTGCCGAATTGCGAGAAACCAGTCACCAAGAAGCCCAACATATGCGTACATATATATATATATATATACATATAGTATTTATTGTATATAAAGAGATACATATGTATATGTTCCATGCAATCAACGCGTCAAGCTGGTTAAAAGGGTTTGTTCATCGAGTGAGGTCTCTTGCCATGCACAGGTTGGTATGCGTTGCACCCGCCACAAGGGATCAAGGCACACTAAAGCAACATGTCTAAGCAGGGGATTTGCGCAATTGTAATTATCACTTCCTGAATGGATGGGCAAAAAATGGTCTTGCCAAAAAAGTACAAAGTCCATGAATTTAGGGAGTAAGAAATACATTCCCACCAACCAGCATGGAAGTGCGCAGACCCCTGTAGAAAGACTACTGTCCTCTTGGAAATGGGCTTTGTGCACTTCCATGTTGGTTGGTGGGAGGGTAACTCCCCCGCGCTCTTAGCATGTGGGTTCCATCTCCACCCCTTGCAAGGAAATCCTGACTCCCCTCAGTGGATTTAGTTCAATATGATACAAGTAGGAAAACGTCCACTTTAGTGAGCGCTAAACAACTGGAACTAGGAACCTCATTTCCCGTTTGTTTCCCTTTTTTTTCTTCTCCGGGGCGTGGTACACGGAACCCTTCTAACTTTTCGGCGGGGGCGCTGCCGCCCTGCTGCCGAAATCTTCGCTGGATGGCATGGCGGCCCACCGCCTGCGCCCGGATGCAGGACGATCCGGGGGACCTTGGTTGACGTTGGATTTCAACCACTAAACCACAATAAGCAAAAAGGTAAAACGTTTCCCAGCAACAACCATGTCACGCGTTTTGAAGGGCCTTAGCTTCCTCTTCTTGCTGAAGGAGGTCGAAGAAGAGAATTAGAAACCGGCTTGGATTTGGCGAATCTGTGGATCCACCCTGTAGGTCTTTGAAAGAGTATTGAAACATTACTAAACAAAGATCAACAGGGGGAAGAACAGGTGAAATTCCACAAAAGGAGATTTTCGCAAACAAATGAGGGGTCAGCGGGAACTGGGATCCTAGTGGCTGGATTCGCTCTCAAAGCCTCAACTAGCTTCAAGGTTATATTGCCCAACAAAAAAACAACTCACTGGGACAAAACGCATGCCAAGAAAAGGGCCACCTACCATGTCCTTACAGAACTCCTGGTAGCTCCTTTCGCTCCCTCTTTAAAATGCAAATTTGGATACCCCTCTGGCTCCTTGGCTCCCTTCCAACCACCAGCTAGCTATTGGAAGCATCTCCCCTGGCGAGGCTGTGTCAGACCCATCGCCTGGGTGTACTGTGCGCTGTTCCGCGCTTTCTCGCTGATCATCCTCGGCTCCACAGCCACGTACTCACCTGCAGCTCCGGTGCAACGCGCCAAGTGGCAAGCCTTAGCCTCGTGGGAAAGCGTAAGTGGCCCCACTCATGTTTTGGGGTCTCCTATTTTGACACAACCCCAAGCACTAAGTACGGTGACTGGACAAAATCACAAGTATCGCAAGGAAAGAACTGGGCGTCATCCATGCCAAAAAGGGAGTTTGCCTATCCACAGTACCACGAACATCATGTGCGGAGCCGGGTTCCAAAGCATCCTCGGTGTTTCATGACTTCATCTCATGTCTGCCATCTGAAGAGAAGGATAGCCGATTCCCATGCGAGGAGGGTACCCTCAAAAGCAGCATAAGAGTGCTCCCATGTCATGCTTTCAGGATGTCCAGGTCAATGCCGTCATGTTCCTTTCAGACAAGCCTACCCCCCCCCTCCCACCACATATGGATGATGTGCGAATCTGGATCGAAGGTATAGGGCATCTTCAAACATGCTCAGCATGAATTCCGGACACTTGGCATAGGTGTCGTCCCAACACCATGGGTGGGATTAAGTGTTTTGTTTTTTTTTAGCTGGCAACTGAAAAAGGAGTTTTCAATTCGAATTCTAAAACTTTAGGGGTAACCCCCTGTAAACCCGTGTAAACAAGCAAACCCGTGTAAACAAGCAACTGGGCACTTCTTTCCGCAGTTTCGGGTTGAGACCCTCCATCTCCCCGTGTTTTGATGGATGGGCTCAGGTGAGTCAAGGTCACAAAGCATGTCCCTTAAACCATCACCTCAGCAAAAGGAAACTCAATTTTCAACAAGGCTCTTCTGATTGGACATGCTCACGTCAGTGGAACGCTGGACATACGGAGAAACCCTGTCATAGCTGCTGGTAACAGAGTGCTTTGAGGGTACCCTTGCAGATTGCCTTGTGAACCAGTTTGCATTGGGCCAGAACAAAAGCGACCAACCAGCGAGCCGAGGGCAGAGAAATCCGGGCTATTCCAAGGCTGCACAAACAGTCGAGGAACTCCCCAACGAACATCATGAGTCAGATTGTTTTACGCTCGAACGGGTGAGCTCCTTACAACTGGCGCATGGCGTCAAAGAGCGACCGAACCCTTTGCGATTTGTTATGAACCTGGGGTTCCGAACTTGGAGTAATCCTTGGATTCTTTTTTAAGGATGCCGCTGGTTTGTTTAGGTGGGGGTCCCCCCTATCTTGAGGGGTTCCTCAGAATTGATGCCTCTTTGGCTCCTTTTGGCGTTTTCAGGCAAACCAAGAAAGCCCAACCCATTTTCAGGGGCCGGTTCCTATCTAGCCAAATCACCCCATCTAATCACCCCAGGCAGACCCCACGACCCCACTCCCTAGGCGAGCTGCCCAGGGCCGCTAAAGAGGCGGTCGGCAGACTATACACGCTCGGCGAGGGCCGCTGGCTGAGCACCGCCGCATCCTGGGTCTCCGATTTGGCCATTTCGACCGAGGACCGAAAATTCCATGTCCGAAAAAAACAAACAAAGTGGAAACATATGGGTTGCTCTTGCCAACCTCAACCCCAGAAAATGGGGGCCCAGGTCTGAAAAAGCTGTCAAGAACTACTCCCTTTTCGGGCTTCATGTTCAATTCCTTGGTCAATAAGCCAGCCTGGCTGACTCCTCAGGGCCCAATGAAGCATTCCATTTCGGGACTGGGACGCCGAACCGTTGACCCATTGCCAGTCCAGGGAAACCGCCCAGGCTGTTTCGAAAGGCCACTCCAACGCCCGCGAAGCGCATCCCGTTGGGTTGAAACCTCGGTATCTTGACCCTGGCCGATTTTTTAAAACCACGCAACAACCTGTCTTCATGTCTCCTCTCAACATTGAGAAACAAGGCAAAGGTTTTTTGGGCCACCAACAAAAAAACAAAGCACTGTGCCCTAGTTTCCTAAGCAAGACGCTTAATGGTTGGAGTTGGTGGGATGAGCTTCTGGCCGGCAATAACGGGAATCCTAACCCAAACAACAAGGGGACAAAACATGGTGGCACCAAACAACTGGGACATGGGGGGGGTCGCTACCTAAAGTCAACACAATTTCACCGTATAAATGAATGGACATGAAGCCAAACAAAACAAGGCTTCAAGGTTAACACGATTCCACAGAAAACCGGGAAAAAAAAACTAATAACACAATGTCCCCCTCGCAAATTGACATGCAACCGAACAACAAACAACACAACACTAGAACCCAAAACAAAGAGGGGCCACAACCTGGCACTGAAGACAGAAGCCGCAAGCGGACTCGGGCGATCTGTTCTGTTCTCAGGCGCTCTTCGAACCATGGGCTCTCCTGTCGCCATGCGGGAGCAGATGTCTTCAAGCAAACCGACCTACGGATTCAAGAGAAGTACCCCCGCCCGCGAAAGTGAAAATCACCCTCGAAATCTGGGTTTAAAGGGAAACCAAAATGCAAAAACTAACGAACACATAAACATAAACAACACCATTTAAGCAAACCATTTAGCCCCACCCCCGGGGGAAAAAAAAACACACACACATGGGTGTGCCGTTTCTTTAAGGGGCCCCAACAAAAATGTGTGGTTTTCCTTTTGGGGTCCCTTGAAACGCGAAAAAGGAGTGCCCTCAAAAGGACACGAATTTAATGGGGTTCCTTTCTTGTGCCCTTCAGCATCGCAAAGAATCCAGATTAATTTACATGATCTTAAATGTGATGTGCACGTCACCAAGCAGAGGAAAGTTCAGACTGATGACAAATGATGATTACTGAGTAAACGTGTTCGGCACAACTCAATTCATGTGTGGCTTCCTCGCCAGCCAAGTAGCAACCTAGTCTGATCGTTGCTAGTGGGCTGATGAGCAAAAACGAGTGCTATTGCAAAGGTCCATGTAATCATGTCCGACAAAGAGTTGATGATCACATGAGGAAATCCTGCGAGGATATCTGCAAGGAAATGTCAAATAGCGGCGGATAGGAAACCTAGTCATGTCAATTGCCTCTGTAAATCTGAGTTGCCCAGCTTGGACCCAGAAGTACAAGCTTAACCTTTTAGGGCCATGTCTAGAAATAGACCACACCTGGCACGATTCGCTTCGGGCAAGTGTGGCATTCATCACGTGTTGAGTCACATGCAACATCTCTCAAAGCTTGCTTGTAGGCCTTAATGGCTTTCTACTCACTTCCTGAGTGGATTGGACAACAAAAGCCAAGCTTTGTGTTTGCCGATAACATCGTCTTCCAGATTTTATCCGAAGGGTTTGAAAGGATATCTCCAGTTCAATGCCACAAACGTAGTACATGTGGTTCGAATCATATGGGTCAGACTTCACACCCACCAAGCTCAGAAATACTTGATTAAGAGGAAGCAGGCGAGTTTAACAGAAACACACACCCAGAAAAACACTGCCTTTAAAAGAACATGTATTATTCAAACTCTGCCAGCAACTCTGCCTAAAAGGATGCTGGGTATTAAACGTGAGGGGGGGTTCTGGAAAAGAAAGTGACACATGACCCATCCTTTTCCGGTTTCCCTTTGCGAAATTGAAGCAATGGGCTCTTCAGCATGGTTCCGAACCTCGCACAAAGCACCCTCTAGTCGCCTCGGGCTCTTCGAGGGAGGGCCGTTTCGGCCGGTCTGGAAGGCTAACTTTGAGCCCTACGCCGAAAATTATGCACACAACCTGACCCGTGCAGAAGGAACAGGTTTCCTGCCCAAAATCCTTCACCCCAGAAAGAAACTTAATCACAAGCAACAAGTAGCACAAAATGTGCCAACAACCCGAATAGGAAATGATGAACGGTATGCAAACCTCTGCGAAAGCAAGTCTCTTAAGTCACTTAAGCTTTCCTGGGTCGCTCCAGCCATCCCAGAATGCCCACTCAGAATGCATGTCACATCCAAGCAACACGCCGCTATTGTTCATCGGGAAGTCCCGTTTAACTACCTCTGCCAGCATAAATTGCACGGCCCGGTTTTCAGCAAGCACACATGTCAAATGCCCAACAGCACCATTAGAAACTTGGAAAGGATCCTGCACAAGCTGCAGCTCATGAGAGTGAAACGTGCCCACCACAAGAAGACCTTTGCAAGCAGCCAGAAGGAACAATACCTGGTGAGCCACAATAGCCCCCCCGCTTGCCAGTATACAAGACCAATAACAGCACATGGGCCTGTGTAGAGGCAAAGGAACTCCGGATGCGGGCCAACAAATAAGTTTAGAAGCGAAGGAATTTCCTAAACAAATCTGGAGAACAAAACGTGCCCAACTTCTCGCCCATCTGGCCAAAAGCCTGGCAGTTCTGCAAGACTTGCTCGCAAACCCGTAAGCCGCTAGCCCCAAAGCATTCCTCGCTAAGGACCCGACCTGACCCAACTAGAAAACATGAGCCGCGCCTCAAAATAACGGACTCAAATCGTCGATTTGTGTGTGTCTCCATGTAGGGGGTCCCTCCCAAAAAGGGTCTGATGGTTTCCCTGCAGTTGACACCAATCAAAACGGGGGGCCCAATAAAGATGCACCCATTCTCTTATGATTCCTCGTTGATACCATCACACTACCTCGCCAGTTTGATGCCCCCACTTAATAAAGTCGGGACATGTCTTCTTTGCAACCCCCCCACCCTCCCCAACTTCTCGACCAACGTGGGGTGTTTGGCCCCCTCTCAACTTGTTTCTCTCGCACCCAAGGCGACATATGGGCAAGTCCCTTTCTGAAAGAGGCATCCTTTGGCGGACAATTGTGGTGCATTTTTGAAGGGCCCCTCCGCTTCAAAAAAACTCCAGCAGCAACGTACCCTCAACAAAAATCGACACACCCTTCAAGACCTTTGCACTCCTAACCCTGGCGCTTGCGCCTGGACAACCTCGCCCATGTCCTCATCTGACTCTGTGTGCCTACGGCCATTGTTTTCCACTTGGAAAGCTGGGCACTGGCGTTGGTGTCCTCTGGGAAAATAGATGGCCCTGCTAGATGATTAAACCATTTTGTTGGGTAGGGGCCCAGTCTCGCTCAGGTCGAATTTGGTGGCCGGGTTTGCTTTGATGTTTCTTGTTGTCTGCCTTCCCTTCTTTTTGAGGCAATGTGGACGCGGTGCATAGGGCACAGGGCAAGGACTCTTTGGAGCTGCGAAGAAGAGAACCACGCCCTGTGGTTTCCTTTGAGGCATCCCAGAAGGTTCATTCCCAAAACGGACTCCTTACCGACCAGCAAGGAAAAGCCAAGCTGGGATTCACAACGCTACGAACGTCCAAGCAAGCCTGCCTCGTGGCACTTCTCAACACAAACCCCAAAATAGAATCAATGACAGCCGGCGGGTTGCCGAGAGACAAAACATGCAAAGTAGGATCAATCACCCCCTGGTTGATCAATAGGGGGTGTCCAATCAAATCTGTTCGAGGGTTCTTTACTTCTGGACGAGGAAGCCCCCCCTTCATCCAACCCTTTGGAACAAAAGGTGGAAACCGATATTGAACAAGTGGGAGTGTCGCTGGTGATTGAAACTTCTTGGGCTCCCTCAATGCGGAAAGTTTTGGGGGCTGTTCCGAACTCCGAACCTTGACCACGCCATCCCACAGCCTGGCACTACTCTCCACCTACGAGTAGCCAATTCTTCCTGAGTAGAGCTACACAAATCCTAACTTATAAAAACCCTAAACAAAGCTAAACTCGTTTGACCCTTTGAAACCAAATCTGACTATTCCCGACCCTGATTTTGAAAGTCCAGTCCTTCCAACCCGGTTCAGCCCCACTGCTAAGCCCTTGTTTGAGTCTATTCTTTGGTGATATTTCCAGCCTTCCTCAATGAAGCCAACCCAAATCATGTGTTGGGTGTGTATTTCATGACGATTTCTTTAGTTATAACAGTCAGCCAAGGGTCCCCGCCCACAGAGTCATTTGCACTAAATATTGTAGCCATACCCTGAACAAAGCCAAGAGGCGTGATGCCCATATTTTCTAATACCCACTGTTGATTCCAATCTTTGGCGCTATTGCCAGCTTCGCTTGTGACTCCAACAAACATCGAAATGCTGCAGTCCCGTGGAGACACTTAAAAAACATGCCAATCAGCCAACACAGAGACATTTGCACAGAATACACACTACAGAAAGGATCGCTTCAAACACTAAACTGGGGAAAAGAGCCAAAACACAATGTGAGCTTGCAGTTCGGGGGGTGGCGGGGCGGGGTGGACAACTGGTGGACATGATGCACATTCTCTACGCGGTCGCTTGAGGCTGTGTAGCACAGCACGGGAGATCCTTGCGGCCAATCCCTCGTGGTTGCTTGGTGTGGCACATTCTCGCCGCCGCTGGGGGGCGTTGGGCCATATCTGGGTTTGTCTTTTGTTGTGTCTGTGCTTGTTTTGTTGCGCAGGGAAACCACCCCTTCAGGATGTTGAAAACCACACCAAAAAAACAAAAGAAATATAGGGACCCCTGCTTTTTGGAGGGCTCCCCCTAAATACAAGAACACACCCATCTGCGCCGCGCTCTTACCGGCGCAGAAGCTGCATGAGACCCTCGAAGGAGACCCACCAGTGGGAGCTGCCGAACGCGCGGTGTGGGAGACGTTGTCGGGCATCCACGGCAGCCCCGGCAGGGCGCAGCGCTCCCTCCGCACCGCAATTTGGTGCCCCAAGCAGCCCAGGTTCTCTTACACTAAAATCGCCTTGGGGCCACAGAAGGTTCAAAGAGCTTCTTCTTTACCCCAGAAATGGTCCTCCCAAACAGATTGTCCAGGAACTCAGGGAGTGGGGAAGGAACCCTTCCTGCCTTGGCAGCGCTTCGATCTTGGGGCCTGGCGCCAAGGCGCTTCAGCGAAACCCAAATCTGTGAGGTGCCTGGTGCCTCCCTTGGGGAAGTCCTCGCTGATGGCAACAAGAACTTCCGTTTGCCCAAGTCGCCTGGAAAACCTCTATATACTAGACATATTTCCAGTCGTGAGCCATTCCCTTGAAACCCCATGGAAAATCAACAATGCCCTTTGGCGAATGAAAGAGAATCGGGCACCTGGTGACAAGAACAGCTCAAACCCTGGAGTGTCAAAACTGATTCACCCCCTTCTGGTCGATGTCACCAAAAAACTAAACAAAAAGGAGAGCGGCCATTCGATGGAGCTAGGTCAGTGTTCTTGCGGCTGTGCGGGGCTTGCCTGCCTGCACAACACATCCGATTTGTTGTTTGAGGGAACCTGAAACTTGTGGCTTTCCCCTTGTTTTTTCCTTATCCAAAAACGGATGGAGTGGCCATGGTGCTTTGTACTGTCCCAACCCAAAGGGCGAGCGCCTTCAAGGGGTTGACATGTTGAAACTGGGGATGGGATCAAAACCATGTTGCAATCTGGTGCGCCCAAGTTTTGGGCGGTTTCCCGCGCTAGATGACAGAAATGCTATATACATGAAAAACCCAACAAACGACTAGGAGGCCCCCGGATTTCCGCTTGCCCTTGGATCATCATGTCACCTCTGGTGGTTCCACGTACCGAAATGCCGAAACGATCCATCCGGCCTGGTGCCATGCCCGGCTTGGGAAGTAGCCTGACGGCCAAACGATACTGTATTCTTCTGGCTGTGGGTCAAAACTGTACCCCTGGTGAACATCAAAATAGGTGGCAAATAGATGTTCACCCACCCCCCAATGGAGCCATAGGTTATGCCCCATGGCCTTCTTTCAAGGGGGCTTCGCCCTTCCATGCAGGAGTCTGCGATGTGCTGGCTTGGAGACGGCTCCTCTTACGAGGGTCATACCGGAGATCGAACCCACTTGTGCGAAAAGAATTGTCTGAATGTTGAGGCTGATCCTCTAAACTGCGTGCAATGCAGCGCAGCTGATCAATGGTAACAGGCTGCTTACGGACTCCGTCTGGAGAGACGGCCATTCCATGCGACACATGCCACGAGATCACTGATTCCTTCTCTTCCGCTTTCAGTCCTCTTCCAGTGCTCTTCAGAACATCGCACAAACAAGCACAACTACAGGTCCACAGGGGCGGCTATTCGGCCGCACCCGTCCATGCTTTTGCACCCATATTCTAAGTTGCCCTAACCGTCAATAGGTGGGCTCGGGACTTGTAACCCACTCCTTCAGGAGAATTATAGCTCCCGGTTGGTTTCATTGGGAGGACACCCCTCTCGCGGGCATTTCGTGCTGGCTGCAGTCAAGACGCACCAGGCTTGCCGCTGACACGGCGTCGCAAATGTCCACCGAGAGTGCATAGACCTCGGCCGCGCTGATCTCAGAAATCACAACGTGCTAGGGCGAGGTCCAGCCACACATCCCCTTCAAACAGCGTGTGCCAACCTGCAAATGATCTACAAATGCATACACATGCGGGAGAACTAAACATGTAGGGGGTGCGCAAGGAGCATATGTTACGAATTCCTATGGGAAGATGAGTGGCTTCAGGTTGAAGTGCTAGTCAGGCAAAACGATTCGAATAGCCTAGGTCACACGCTTTCTTCGGTGCACATGTGCGCCTGCAACCACCGCGGACCTGGTCAAGACTGAGTTGTGTAGGTCCGTGCACGGTTCCACTTCACTACCTGAGCTGCATCCTCGGCACAGAAAGCAAATATGGGTCACATGGGGGCTCAAATGAAATCGAATCGGGTCACCAAAAGGGGCCGACACCCAGATGTGAAACAGCAAATGCGAATTC